TGTCATAGCATCAAGTCATCTGACAGCCGCCCCAAGGACCCGATACCCAACGACCTCAATGAACCCCAAGGCCACTGCACCGATAGGATTGGACAACTGGGCAACGGCTTACACAAAGATGCGGAGGAATGCTGAGGCCCAACAAGTGGCCCTGGACTTAAGGCGGCATGCAAATACCATTATCCACTAGAAGCAATAGGGCAACCCTATCCGGTGGAGTGCAGGCGAAGATATTGATGACTACATTGCAGACTTGGCAGAGACAATAGTTCGAGTTGTGAACCACAAGCCTTGCCACCAAGGGAAGTGCTGGATATGGGCGGGAGCTACTAAATAACTTTGGCAGGGTGTGGACCTTAAGGGCAAGGCTGAGGGGATGTCCAAACATAGTGCTGGGATGGTGGCCACATCAGCGTGGGCAAGTTACCCAACCACCACCATTATGGACCCCCACCATTGGCTTCACGAGGACCCGTGGGCGGGAGACATATAGCCACGGTGGGGTAGGGATTGGACACGATAGCTACCCACCCACAACGCCAAAAGCCGCGATGGGGAGACTACCTTTAACCAAGACACTGAACGACCGAAGCCAACGGATAGTGACTCGGAGGAAGACAACCCATGGCGACCGCACCCCTGGGCTTGGTACACACAGCTCAGTTGGGGAGGAGACTGGGCCATGGCCTACCATGCCGCAGCTTGAGGACCACCGGCACGTTCGAACTATGGGAGGAAGGATGCACCCCAGCTCACGGGACGCTCACTATTGGGGGTGTAAGGGTGTAAAGGTTAGTTATGGTACATTGTATATTACAAGCTATTTGGAAACATTGTACAATAAAAACACTCACTTCAGGGAAAAGCACAGCGCATTGTACAATAGAGGCCTTCATGGGAATATTGTATATTAGAAAAACCAAGGCCAGTACTTGAGAGCGAATAGAGCCTATTAGAAGCGGCATCTCAGGTGTTTTCTAATACCATGGACAAAGGGGGGAAGTATCTAGGGAAAAAGCACCATGTTGGTCAGCATAGTAGGAATGGGCCTCGGGACCAATGGGTCGGTGAAACAAAAGGACATGGGACTGGTGAATTCAAATTAAAACCTAGCGGGTATGCCAGAATTAGGTGACTCACCCTATTTCTGGTATGACCCTTGGGATCCGTTGGGAGCGGGTACAAATACAGACCACCGAACCAATTTATAATCAAAGTTGCTTATACAATTCTTGCTCGATTGGTCCCCTACTCGAACGGAGAGAACGGGCCATTTCGCATCCGGCCAAAAAGGCTTTCCCCCTTTACAATTGGGGCTTTCACATTTTGACCTGGTTGCATTCGCAACCTCAGGTCACCTGGCTCCCGCCCCAATGCTCGCTTTGCTGCATACATCAACAAACTTCACAGGGCACCAAGAGCAACATATGCCAATCGCCCACATTGAAAGTTTACCATTTCTCTAATGGGACTATGGTCAGTGTCGTGAGGCACAACATGGGTCCCAAAGGCCCAACTTAAATGCCAATATGGCAAGGGGTGTGTTGACATGTTGCTGCATCGCTGCAATATTTTGTGCTATTCTATGCATAGGCTTGGCTTGATGATGGGTGAGTATTTTAAATACCACTAGCTTAATATGGGAATATTATTCCCCTATAAGGCCGGGGTTGTCCCGCCTAAGGTCCCATGTAATCTAGGTACCCGGCGATGTGGGTTCGTGGATTAGAGGGCTGGCGCCCTATCCACACAAGGTTGTTGTATCATCCGCCTTGCCAAATTTGATATTCTGGCTTGATGGAAGGATAGGCCTTCCACGGCCCCATGGCTATAATTTAATCGTGCAATATAATCTTTGGTATTGCTCCAATTTCTTAACGTGGAGCTACTTGGCATGTCCCTTTGAGCCATTGGGTCTAGTTTTGTTGCACGCACATGGGTTTCTGAGCCGCTCTAAGCAGCGATGAGATGATAGGTGGAGCTCCAGTACATCACAATGAGCAACATCTCGTTGGTGTTTCTATAGTCTTGCGTGGGCTTCTGTACATTGCCCAATGTGGTGAATAGTGCTAGCAAGCATTAAAAGTGCTTTTAGCCTACTTCAAACCTATGGTGGCTATGTTGATAGGTTCTGTAGTCTTTCAAAATATCATGGGTCTTTGTGACATTACTCTAGTGGTGTGGAGGTGGTGTAACTGATGCTCTCAGTTATCCTGGGCCAAGTCTGGGTTACGTGCCACTAGTTTTGGGCCTTATGGGGCACCAGCTATATGTTACTAAAGGGGCTTTGTCTATAATATAATCTTTCCACTTTAATTTGTACCACGAATATGCCATTATTGCCCTTGCCAAAGGCAAGGCGGACATCGTATTGCAGGTGCTAAAGATGGCATATAACTGATCATTATGTGCAACTTCTATCATGTAACATTTGTATCCCAGGGAGCCATAAAAACGTAACAATACCCACAAAAATAAGCCCTCTTGCAAATTTTTTAATGTGTAAAAATGTTAAAGTAAAAACGTAAACACAAATATAAAAACCAAGCCTATGTTTTAGCATTTTTGGAGTTGTCTACTCTTATTATATATAGGCACCTTGTCATCGTTTTTTATATTTTGTTATGTTCTATTGCTATTGATTCAATTTTTGGCATATAGCCTTTTTTATTGTCTTTGGGAAGCTTTCTTCCACTGCCAAGATCGTGGATCCTAAGTGTTGATGTGTCATTTGTTTTTCATATGAAGCCAATTGTATTGTTGGCAGGACTTTGTAACCATGCACATCTATACGTCCATTATTGTACTTTTGTCCCTTTTTATGAATACATACTACTATTGTAATTTACCACGTGATCAATATTCGAATCCATCCATGTTGTATTCACCACAGTGTCAGTGTTGATATCAACAACAACCACTGCAACTCCTCAGGAGCAACTTCCTCACCACTTGAAGTGCTCCTTGTCACTGCCAACATCGCCATTGGCGAATTAAGGGTAAAATTGAACATCTGAATTGCTTGGTCTCTAGTGATTGCCAAAGTTGTTGTTCTAGTGAGGGGCTAGTGCCATGCTTAGTCCGAAATATTGTATGGCTATCCTTATACCTTGCCTGACTCAGATCTGGAACTACAATCGATCGCACCCAGCCCCTATGTGCTCTCCGGGGGCTTGGCAATTCCAGAATTATAACAAACCCGTAATGCAACTAATGACTCTATGAATTGGGAGATGACCCTGGCTTTGTGACTCGTTTCACCTGAACTTGTTCTGGTCTCAAGCTGTGCTTCGCTCTTTTTTCATCCATCGTTCGCTCCACCCGCCCCCATGATACAGCCGGCCGCAGCCTCAGCACCGCTCCCGATAACGACTCCCGCCACAGCTCCCACAGCTGCCTGTCCAATGTTCGGGAGTTTCCCCCTCACGCCGGTCCCACCCAATTGAAACCTTACACCCACGTAAGGCGCGACTCACGGTACCGCACCAGATTCCCTGCCGCAGTGCGCTCCAAGCACATCGTAACAGGCTGATGGTGATGACTGTCCGCCACACGCCGTCTGTCATCAGACACAGCGTCCTGGAACTCCGATGACGGGCACTGACCCCCGTTCCTTTACACCGTGTGCGTGAAGTTGTCTCCGTGCAAGTTGCCCCGCCCTGGGCTGCCCTTCAGGAAGCTGTGGCCACGTCAAGGGACGCCGCTCAGCCGCGCTCTTCAAGCTCTGGAGACTGGAGCGCTTCCCAATAAAGAGTTTGCGCCCGCTGTTTCTACCTACACAGCCCGACGGGCCTCGAATGTCGACGATCAAGGGGCCGCGGTGGTCTGTTGAGAGCGGGCGCCCAGTCCTTCTCGGAGAGGAGGAGCGTAGTCATGGTTCGTATGTTGCCGCCGGTGCGTTTGGGGAAAACGCCGCAAGCACAGGGTCCAACGTGCCGCAGGGCCGTCCCAGACATGTCCGCCTGGAGTTTGCGAATCGAGCGCGACAAAGCCGCGCCGAGCTGACGGAGGGGGCACACCGCGGCCCCGCTGGAACTTCCGGTCGCCCGCGCCGTCGCTCCCGTCGCGGGTCGCTGCAGCGTGCCGTATTGCAGCTGTGTGGAGCACTGCTGTGCTGTGCTGTAGTGCCCAAAAAGGGTGGCCCGTCCGCCACCCTGTGTACGTGTCGGTCGTGGGGGTAGCTTAACGGTATGGCCCTGCCTGGGGCCGGCGCTCCGTCGCCGGTCTGCCGGAACTCCGCGCGGTCGCCTCCCCTATCGAGAACCTCGTTGCGACAAGGGAGCGGAGGAGGGCCTGCCCCCCGCGTGGGGCTCAACCAGATAACGGCGGACTGAAGCTTGCGGGGTTCGTGCAGGTCCGCTGCTTGGCGGTAGGAGCAGCGTTAACTTGATATGAGCTAGGGTTCGCCGTCTGCCCCATCTTTCTTGTGCATCCTGCGAAGGCTGTGTTGAGAGAAGGAGGCCGTTAGCAGTGTCTGCTCGTGAGCATCTACCACCAAGGAGAGGTGAGCAGTCTGCCAACCGGACGGCATCGTCGTGTTCCCCGGCTGATCAAGAAGCGTGTCCGCCTTCTCTTTGCGTGTGCACTGCATCTTCCCCCTTCTAGCTGAGCTGGAAACGTGATTCCCGTTGCGATTGCTGGATGGACAGTGGGTAAAGAGCGCTGTTTCGCCCCTTCACATCATTGCACATGGCTTGTTTGACAGCCGCACGGACCGCAATCTGTTCCCGGTGCGCCAGGAAACTTGACCCGAGTGGTTTCATGATTCTCCTCGTCGTGCTGCGCCAGGTGCCCGTGCAGGACGGGGCAGGACGATGCGCTCCGCGCAGCGAGAAGCGGCGTCAGAGTCAGGGAGTATTTTGGACTTAGGGCCACGGGCTCACCGTTCGTCAGTTCCCGTCGCGTGTCACCCATCAAGATGCCCAGCGTCAGACACGCGAGGCACACGTGCCACAGTTGGTAGTGGGATGGCCTGATGGAGACAATCAGGTGATGAGCAGATGCATTACGGTACTTACGAACGACACGCTGACACTGGCAGCACGGCTTTCATGGCTGCAATGGCTGAAATGGGTCTGATGGGTTTTGTCCACACATCTCATGACCGCCTGACCTGGCCGGAGACAACAACCAGTCGAATGCGGCGGCTATGGAACGGCGACTATTGGTCAAGTTTAGTTCATCTGGTGGTTAGAGGAGGGAAACTGACGAGCGATGCTCAAACGACAGATGCGGAAATGGAACGATGGGAGGAGTGGCCTGCCTGGCGGCCGGCATTTGTTAGTGTGAACATTGGGTAAGGCCACAAATTCTGGTGTACGAATTTTTGACTCGCCCAATGACCACACTAACAAGGGACGTTGGCCTTTGCTGACTTTTGGCATGCCTGATTCCATCTTTAAAGCGGTGTGATGCCCGACCATGCGCCCGTTGAATAGGTGGTCTCAGCACACAAGGGACAGTGGATGCTGAAGATGCCACAGCTAGGGCTGTTTAATTGTTCTGCTACTTGCAGTAAGACCCGACAGATAGCGGGAACATCTGAATTCCTGACCCAAGTGTCACTGGTCATTGTGGTCAACAGATCCATGGCATGTGGTGAGATGTGTGTGAACCCTTGCTGGCTCCCTCTCGCTCTCTCTCTCCTCGGCTTCAGTGCGCCCCACATGTGTCGGGCATGCACCTTGGGGGGCAACTGCTGTGAAATTTTCGGAGGTTGTGTTCTGGAAACTTCCCATAAATTGGATGGGTCCCTTGTGATCAAAGGGATTCAATGTGCTGGAAATCCACCTAACCCGGAATTCTGTTGCATTCAATAGAAAACGGTCCAATAGGCTTCAAGGCTTCATGATAACAGGAATGATTCATGGCTAAAGTGAAGCGAACAAAGCAAACAACAACGGGAGAGTGTCGTTTCGCCCTTTCATCATGCCAACAAGAACAATACTACAAATACAATTTGTAAGTCTGATGAAGCGCATTATGCTATCTTTTTTGCAGTAATAACCACTTGTGAGAACTGCCTAATTGCCCTCTACCAATGCCCTTGAGTAGTATTTGAGTACTTTTGAGCTCTCAGAATATGGCGGCACATGGCACCAAAGATGGAGTGGTGTGCTTTGTGCGGGTTGTGCTTGGAACGGCTTGAATTGTAGTGGGACTCCTTAATAGCAGCTCCATGCGACTCGCCTGAACACGGGTTATTGTTTAAGTTGATCAGTGTTTAATACTGATAATCTATATAAGAGCATCAGAATTTCAAATACTATTGTGCACAAAGCTTACATGCATGGCAACTTACAAAAGCCGCCCTCAATGCAGCGCCACAAATGCACACTACCACAAAACCGCTGCCACCATGATAGGCCACAATTGATGGCAAACTTCCCAGCTATTAGAGGCGCCATGTTTGGCGCCCTTAAGGGCAACCCCCAGATGTGGGGCATAGCTACCATACACTATGCGTATGTCACATTGTGATAGTACCTATCCAAACGTCTTCCATCTGCATTCATCTTTGAATACCATTCTCATTTTTGTCCCCATATTTAAAAATGGTGCAACACAATCTACACTACTAATAGTAATCAACCTAACTAGTAATAATCAATGCAAGCTAAGAAGAGCCACAAGCTGGTGTTGATTAATAGCAACATATTATGGCACGTGCAAAGCTCTCAAACGTTCAATATTTATGGCGGCCCCCATAATGTCTTAATTGACAGCCTCCACGACTCCCCTCAATCCTCTACCATCGCTTCAAGCATTTGAAATTTCCAATTCTTAATCGCCACTAAGGAGTTAACTGTGTAGCTAGCTCCCTAGTGATTGTTGAGAGTTGAGAAACAAAATTCATTATAGTGCTTTTGAGCACAATACTTTTAATATGTTTATATAAATATGTTTGCCTTAATGACTTTTCGACTCTTCCCATAAGGCATCAATATTACTTGTTATGCATATGTGGATTATTCATGTCTAAACGTGAATAACTATACAAAGGAGTTTGGTGCCCGTTTACTATTAATTTTGCCAAAATAAACTTAAAATGGTTCCTCGTACATGCCACATATATTTTTATGGGAATTTGTATAATTGAATCATGTGCACATATTGAAGGGGACAAAACAAATCAGACAACGCAGGGGCAGTACCAGCATGGCAAGCTAGAATGGTGGAGGTACGCCAATATGTTTGGTGATAGCATTGCTCTTTTTGAGGGGAGGGTAGACACAATATTGGTTGTGCTCAGTAATCACTAAGAGGCTGTGTGAGGGGAGCTTACACCTCACTATATATTATGAACCAACAAGAAGATTGTATAATAGAACACCAAGCATAAGCAGGAACACGGCATACTATACATTATAAATACTCTGGGAAATTATTGTATAATAGAATGTCATGGGTTCTGGCCAAGTGCCAGCCTTGCATGATAGGGATAGCAGCCCAGGGGACTTTCCCAGCGCAATAGTTAGAAGGGCACAACATGAAAGGGGGGAGCCGTGTTGGTCAACACGGTGGCCTATGAAAGGGGCAGGCCCACGGGACCTTTGGGATTGAATGGGACTAAATATAGTATTGGTAATTTACCATAAATATGACAAGCTGGGTAACTCAGTTGTGAGACGAATAGCATGCGAGGATACAAACGGGTGCAGATAAAAATTCAAACGAACCAATTGATTTTGGTAGTGGCCATTCGGCTACTCAGTTGGCGCCCTTGGGCAACAATAAATACAGACCAAACCTTACAAATATAATTTCAACCTTACCAATTCCATCGCTTGTGTGATACCACCAGCTCCCGAATCGAACGGGACAAGACGGGCTAAGCCCCAACTGATTAGAAGCGACCCCCAAGGTCCCCTTACAACTAGTTTTAGAGCCAGAGGAGCTGCCAAAGACAAGAAAGAGCTTCATGTTGACCAGACCCATGACAAGAGGCAGCAAGGCCTTAAGGGAGTGGGGAGTATGAGGAACCCCCAAAGGGTAGCGTGGCAGGATGTCACAAAAGCATCGACCGTGTGAGAAACCCCGAGAGGAGAAGATTGGAAGCCGCCATGCGCCGGCATGTGATGGTGAAGAGGCCGCCCCGAGGGCACCGAAGGCTGGGCGTCCCGAGGGCATCAGCAACAAGGCCTGCCCCGAGGGCACCAATTTCCAGTTCCACTGGGTGCTAGAGTGCGTCAGCAAAGAGGCCCCCCCAGGGTAGTGAAAGTTGGGCGTCCCAAGGGCGACAATCATATAGCCTATGCCGAATGCAAACTTTGTCAAGAGCTGGACGTTAGGAAGATGTTAGTTGCATAGTCTACCCCAAGGGTGTGTTGAGAGCATAGGAAAGGAGCATTAGAAGACATTAACCAAGGCGGCAGAACCAGGGGCATCACAAGGATGTCAGCTGGTGGCTAACCCACAAAAAATAACTAAGAGAAAGGGAGAAGAGAATCAATAATATGAGCTAGACGGCAAGACTTGCCGACACTTAGTGTCCAGAGTCAATTACCAAGCCCAACTAGAGCTTTGCCGGACTATTTACAAGCAGCCATCGAGCAAGCATTGGGGAGCCGATGGAACCAGCTGGTGCAACACAAAGAAACACAACAAAATAAAGCCAACCAATGTATTCAAAGTCAACTGGACAAGGCGATGGTAGCAGCTACTATATTGGCTGAAGCAAGAATGTACAACTAGGGAGAGCGACCTAGCTTGAGCGTTGTCAGGCCACCAAAGCCGCTCATGTATGAAGGATCTCATCAAGGCACATCTACGTAGTGGGCCTTTCAAGTCTCACAATATTTACATTTACTGAATGTCCAAGACGAGGCATACTGCGTGGAATTCATAGCCAGCCTGCTTCGAGGGTTAGTTGCTTTATGATGGTAGAATTTGGTGAAAACCCATGGGGAAGGAGCCGTTTAGATATGGGGAGAATTCATCAGCATCACGGAGGGATAGTTTGGAGTAGCCAACGACCATCAGAAGGCTAGGGACGAGTTGGCAAGGCTGGTCCTACGAACAAGCATAGAAGATTATATTGGGAAGTTTGTGGATCTCAAGACCCGTATAAAAGGCAACAGTGGTTGATAAATATCTAGATAAATACAAAAGAAGGCTCAAAGCAGCCGTATATCTAGATGTTCAGAGGGCCAACCCCCAGAATCTGCAATAAACAATGACGCACGAGCTCAGGGCTGACGACATCCTATTCCGGGTATACGCGGCTTCAAGAGGCCAGCCCCTAGGATTGACTGCACAGCAGCTTCCTCAACCTGGACCATGAGTTGAACCAACTCCAATAGAGGTGGACAACCTCCAGAGTGAGCGACCTCTAAGAATGCAGTACCATCGCTGCAAGGGCTATGGGCACATTGCAAAAAATTGTGCAACAAAACTGAGGTGAGGAGAGTGCGCCCCAACCCCACCGGAGTTCGAACAACACTACGTGACTAATATAGAGAATCGCCATGGTGGATTGGAGAGCGACCCCGTGGAGTACTACAGCAATAAGCAAGACTTGAGGGCAGCTATCTGGAGGCCACTGTATTACCTCGGGGCCTTGGGAGGGCGCACCGTACAAGCATTGGTGGACTTGGGCATGACAAACAACTTTGTGGCCAAGGGGTGGTTATGAGAAAAAGACACATGCCCAAGCCTAGAGGCAACCCAAGATGCTGATGCTATGCTTGCAAATGAGACCAAGGTTGAGGACGCCATTAGATGCCATGGTATAAAGTTTGTCATCGGAAGTTGTGAGACTACGGTGTTTGCGGTGGAGATACTGGTCGAATCCTTTGACATAATTTTGGGTATACTATGGCTAGAGGAAGTACAACCCGAAATAAACTAGGCAACTCATGAGATGGCCATAGATTATGATATTATATGCCTAGTAATGTCATCGCAATAAGCACCAAGTAAGGGAGCTGAACATAAGCTCCAAGCTAGCCTGGAGGAAGGCCAACAAGATTATAATAAACAAGATAAATTACGACAGAGCAATGAGGGAGAAGATGACGACTGGGATAGAACCACATGTCAAGATGACTGCGATGGCCAGTACAAGCCAATGGCAGCTGAGGAGTTGTACAAGCAGATGCACAACTATGATATTAGTAGCTCCTTCCAAGAGTGCAAGCAACAAGGCCTGACAAAGACAAACTACTACTCAGGGCAGAGCATAAGTGAGAATTTGCAAATCGCAAATAAGGAGCTATGCCTTCTCAATATCGAGATGGCTGGAAACGAGGCTAAAGAAGCGGGGAGCAATAACAATGACTTTACCAACTTATCAACTAAC